GATCCTTAAAATACCATAACTTACAATTTTATTAAATTGTGATCCAGTTAATTTTATGACATGACACCCGGGGCTTGACATAAATTTTTTGCTCAAAATTAGCCACTCAGCATTTCCACTGGACTAAATTTTGTTGTTGGGAAACTATATTTTATTGTATATGATTAAAGTTACTGCATACTAAAATTTACTTAAATTGATTTCTAGGTCATTTTTTGCCTATATAAAGGGCATTTGCTCCTAACCGTGATAAATGTATGCTTAAAAAGGGCTGTTACCAATCAAATTAAATCAGTATCAACAAAAGCTTGAGTCAACAGCATTTAGATGCATTTACACAGACAGTTTAATAAAACTGAAATATAGCATGAATGCATTCACACCACAGAATTACAACAGCATAACTAATGCTATAGTGTTTTAAATCAGTTTTTAATGTAGAAATGAAACATGCAAGGATGGGCAACTTTTAAATACAAAAGTAAACCTCCAGTAGGTCTTAATGAGTGAGTCATTGAGTCATTCATTCAAGTGATTCGTTCAGATGGCTGATTCATTCAAGAATGAAGCATGTGCCTGTCTTTAAAGGGGTCATCTGACACAATTTCATGTTTCCCTTTGTCTTTAGAATGTTACAAGCTGTTCATGCATAATAAGATTAAAGTCTCAAACCCAAAGAGATATTCTTTCTAAAAGTTAAGACTCATCCACACCTTCCTAAAATTACTTATTTAAGCACGCCCCCACATATCTACGTCACTGTGTTGGAAGATTTGCATAACATTGCCCTAATAGATATGCAAAGAAAGAAGGCATAACTTTTATTCTCGCTGTAGTATTGTCGCCACCGCCACGGAAGCTGATATTCCAAATATGGTAAGGGGCGCAACATTTCCGTCACACGCTTGATGTATTCGGCCAATCACAACGCACTGGATTTCTGGCCAATCAGAGCATGTTACTTTTCAGTGCTTTTCAGAACAATGAGCTTTGTAAAAATCAACGCGTTTCAGAAAGGCAGGACAGAGAGAAGCAACAATAATGTACGTTATGTGGAAAAGAATGTGTTTTTTTAACCTTATACCGCGTAAACACATTGCATTACACCAAATACGCAAAATAATGTTATTTTTAGCAACGTCATATGAACCCTCAATCAACAGAAAACAGCGCGTGAATAACAAATTTAAATTTGCTTGAACGTGTAAATTGGCAAATTAATCTGCGAATCACATGCATGCCGAACTGTGGTGTCTGGTCCGTACGTATCACAGATCAACTGTGAACCGTTTAAGCCCAAATATATATGACAGATCAGAACAATAATTAATTTACTAATTGAACATCTAATTTACATACTGGGTTGCGACCCGCAGGTTGGGGACCTCTGATCTAAACTGTTATTAATAACAGATTGGAGATTAAATAATAGCATATCTGTCTCATTTTAAATAAAGAATAAAAACTGAGATGAAAAATGTACTTCAGCCAGAAATGTACTTTTGTTTTGGTTAAATCAATGTTCAGTGATATCCTCAAAAGGTTTTTGAATTTTGCCACATTTTTTCTTTTTATAGTCTTGATATGGCAACTAGTAAAAACCGTACGTTTTGTTATACTAGCTTGTGTGGAAGTGTTTTAACCATGTGTGTTACAACTAACCCTGTATTAGTTTGTGCCCTGCGCACCACTATAGTGTAAATATGAAGCAATGATCAAATGACAAACAAATTATTCAACAACTAAAAATTAGAGAAAATATGATTGTAAAAAGATAACTGGGTTCAGTTTTCCCACTCAAAATGACTATTCTCTAATGACCTTATATTCTGAGCAACGTGTCATCAGAATACTTGATTATTCTACATATACTGTATATTTGTTTGTAATCAACTTTAACGTATATAGTGTCTTTTTTTCATTATTTTCCTGAATAACTGCTATGTTATTGATCTCAGTAACATATCATCATCTCCAGGTCATACTGAGCAGCTGACTGTATACATAAACCCGATGTTTAGCTGCAGTATGTCAGAGGAGCGAGGAAAGAACTCTCCATCTGAGATGGGTCTCTCTGAGAAACAGAGGTAAGTTTATTTATTTATTTACTTATTCGTTCATTCATTCATTTAAATACTTTTAAACTATACATGGTAAACAGGGCTTTATGGACAGTCAAACGTAATAACTAACTAACATAGAGTGCTTCTACCATGGATATAGATGTTTTGGGACTATGAATAAATCATTTTATCAGTGCAATTAACTGATTGAGGCATTCGATACCACAAATGACTAAATGTATGGATTTATAAACCTTCAAAAAGTAGCCAGTAGATGATAAACATTTTAAATCTGAAAAGCAAAGTCATCATTTACAAAGTTATACAAGTTATTCATTCCCTCAGCATGGATTTTTTATTTATTTTTTGGCCTGGGTAATATAACAGTAGAGATAATGTAGTATTAAAGTGCTAAAGTAGTGTTGTAAAAGTATACTATTTTTATTTTTAAATTACAATGTATTAAAAAGTGTCTACATTTATGATACGTGTCCAGCCCTGTGTCTGGTGGCATGCCGAACTCCAGTGAGAAAAAATCATCATCTACCAAAAGGTATTTCATGTGCTTTACAATATAGCGTTATAGGTTTATTTGTCCACAGGGGTAGTATGTAATAGAACTTTACTGAAGAAAACTTAAAGGGGTCACATGATGCGATTTCAATTTTTCCTTTCTCTTTGGAGTGTTACAAGCTCTTGGTGCGTAAAGAAGATCTGTAAAGTTGCCAAGACTAAAGTCTCAAATCCAAAGAGATATTCTTTATAAAAGTTCAGAGTCAGCCACACCTACCTAAAACGGCTCGTTCTAACACGCCCCCACGTCTACGTCAGGATGTGGGAAGATTTGCGTAACGCCGCCCAAATGTTCACGCAAAGAAAGAAGGCATAACTTTTATTGTCGCTTTAGTATTGTTGCTGCCGCCGTCATGTCGTGAAAGCGAAACTACTTTGTTTGGCCTTCCAAAAGAGGACGATATCGCTTCGTCGTACCTGGAGCTGATCCGTGCTGGTCGCTGAGGAAATACATCAACGCTGTGGATCGCCGGATCGGCTTTCACCGTGGACGAAGCGGAGTCCAGCCCGGGGTCATCACATGTGGTATTTATAATGGGTTTTCATGTTTTTGAATCATTGCTCTGGCCTGACAGGGCATCATCAAAGTATGGTAAGGGGCGTAACACTTCCGTCACACGCTAGAGGAATTCAGCCAATCACAACGCACTGAATAGCTGGCCAATCAGAGCACACCTCGCTTTTCAGACCGATGAGCTTTGTAAAAATCGACGCGTTTCAGAAAGGCGGGTCATCGAGGAGAAACAATAATATACAGTATGTGGAAAATAATGTGTTTTTTTAACCTTAAACCGCATAAACACATTTCATTACACCAAATAATGTTCTTTTTAGCAACATCATATGACCCCTTTAAAATAAATTACTGACCACAATATTTGGTGATCATTAATCACCTAATTCTGGAGCTTCTTTCAGTAAAACAACTACACAGGCAATCACTTTGAGGCATACATGCAGAGCTGATCCGTGCTGGTCGCTGAGGAAATACATCAACGCTGTGGATCGCCGGATCGGCTTTCACCGTGGACGAAGCGGAGTCCAGCCCGGGGTCATCACATGTGGTATTTATAATGGGTTTTCATGTTTTTGAATCATTGCTCTGGCCTGACAGGGCATCATCAAAGTATGGTAAGGGGCGTAACACTTCCGTCACACGCTAGAGGAATTCAGCCAATCACAACGCACTGAATAGCTGGCCAATCAGAGCACACCTCGCTTTTCAGACCGATGAGCTTTGTAAAAATCGACGCGTTTCAGAAAGGCGGGTCATAGAGGAGAAACAATAATATACAGTATGTGGAAAATAATGTGTTTTTTTAACCTTAAACCGCATAAACACATTTCATTACACCAAATAATGTTCTTTTTAGCAACATCATATGACCCCTTTAAAATGCAGATTCAGCATGGAAAATAAAGATCATGCAACCAAACATGAATTTATCCATCAAACCATAGTCATAGCAGGATGAAATGTACATCTATCTATACTGTATCTAATTATCATTTGCAGCATTAAACATTTTTAAATGATGCTGAAATACCTCATCTGTTCTAGAGTTTTTTCTTTTTTTCCTCTCTCTCTCTCTTCCTGCTCTTTATGTCATTAGTGTCAGATCAGGCTCACTTGTATCCAGCTCTGTGTCTGTGAAGAGTGACCAGTCAAAACCTGAACCACCGAACTTCTGTGACAAAAAACCACCGTCTGCCAGAAGGTATTTCAAGTGTTTCTACCTAAAACGGCTCGTTCTAACACGCCCCCACGTCTACGTCAGGATGTGGGAAGATTTGCGTAACGCCGCCCAAATGTTCACGCAAAGAAAGAAGGCATAACTTTTATTGTCGCTTTAGTATTGTTGCTGCCGCCGTCATGTCGTGAAAGCGAAACTACTTTGTTTGGCCTTCCAAAAGAGGACGATATCGCTTCGTCGTACCTGGAGCTGATCCGTGCTGGTCGCTGAGGAAATACATCAACGCTGTGGATCGCCGGATCGGCTTTCACCGTGGACGAAGCGGAGTCCAGCCCGGGGTCATCACATGTGGTATTTATAATGGGTTTTCATGTTTTTGAATCATTGCTCTGGCCTGACAGGGCATCATCAAAGTATGGTAAGGGGCGTAACACTTCCGTCACACGCTAGAGGAATTCAGCCAATCACAACGCACTGAATAGCTGGCCAATCAGAGCACACCTCGCTTTTCAGACCGATGAGCTTTGTAAAAATCGACGCGTTTCAGAAAGGCGGGTCATAGAGGAGAAACAATAATATACAGTATGTGGAAAATAATGTGTTTTTTTAACCTTAAACCGCATAAACACATTTCATTACACCAAATAATGTTCTTTTTAGCAACATCATATGACCCCTTTAAAATGCAGATTCAGCATGGAAAATAAAGATCATGCAACCAAACATGAATTTATCCATCAAACCATAGTCATAGCAGGATGAAATGTACATCTATCTATACTGTATCTAATTATCATTTGCAGCATTAAACATTTTTAAATGATGCTGAAATACCTCATCTGTTCTAGAGTTTTTTCTTTTTTTCCTCTCTCTCTCTCTCTTCCTGCTCTTTATGTCATTAGTGTCAGATCAGGCTCACTTGTATCCAGCTCTGTGTCTGTGAAGAGTGACCAGTCAAAACCTGAACCACCGAACTTCTGTGACAAAAAACCACCATCTGCCAGAAGGTATTTCAAGTGTTTCGGATTTTTGGTCACACAGACTGTTAGAAAGTTTATCAGTGAATACTTATGAAACTTTTTTTAGGTCAAATATTTATATAAACTCTGAAATGTTTGTCAGGGTATTTTTGTAATATTTTGCCTGGAAATGCAGTATTTTGTTCTATTTATTTGCTAACAGGATTCAATATGAGACATTAGATTCAGATGTCCAGAATCACGAGAACCACAAGAATTTCAAAGACAATCTCTTAGGGATCTTCCAGGTAAGAAAAGTGTTTAATGCTTATAAATATGTTATTGAACACAGAAATTAGCTTTGACAAAATATGGATGCACAATTAGTTTAAATTAGGTCTTTTTTTTCGCAGGATCTTGAGAGCAAAATAATCAGTTTCCTGAAGATTGAGCTTGAAAAGTTTAGGAAAATATTACAAAAAGACATCACACAATCCTTTGTGAAGGACTTTAATGAGAATAAATGTAGTATCAAAGAAGCAGCTCTTGATCTCACACTCTACTTCCTGAGGGAGATGAAGCAAGATGAAGCTGCTGATACTCTAGAAGGTAAGAGACTCATGACCATCTGTCATATTGTTTATCAATTCAGACCAATATCTGAGCACAGCGCACGCAAACTGGTCCAAGCTCAGAACAGGTTTACTCGGGAACCAATGTTGATCGACACTAATGTTACTGCACAGTGCTGCAAGATCCAGTGAGAAGCGTTTGAATTCGCCAAAAAATGAATAAGGTTGCTGCGAGATCTAGTTATAAGCATTCAAATTCTGCACAAAATTATATGTTATAAACAGATCAAACAGCGTTGACAGAGAAAACCAGAAGTAGTTAGGCTAACTATAACCATGGTGTTGTGGCAGAAATAGTCGAATGTAATTACATACTTCATTTCATTGTTTGCATGACCTTTTGAAAGAGAAAAGGTCTCGACTTGGATGAATCTATGACTTTCAAGTATTTCACACAACTATTTCCAGCACTTTAAAGATCTAAAACTGATGTTAAAAATGTCATTTTTAATGGGATGACTAAAATATACTTAGTAAACAAACACTTTAAAATGAAATAAAAAAATACATTAAATTACTATAACCAGTAAATGTTTTGCACTTTTTGTGTAAAGTCACAAAATGCCTTGAAAAACACACAATTAGATTTTGACAATTTATTTATATAGCACAATTAATTACAACCTCCGTCGACCAATGTGCTTTCCAGTAAGTCATTACAAACAGAAAAACACACAACAATCAAACAGAAAAGTTATAAAATCATACAAATATCCCATCATCCATACGCTTTAGAAAATAAAAATGTCTTTAGCCTGGACTTAAAAATATTAAAGGAAGAAGCTTGTCTAATGGATAGTGGCAAGGCGTTCCAAAGCCTGGGGCAGCAATACAGAAAGCACCATCTCCCCTGCACTTAAGCCTCGACTCAGGGGTAAACAATAGATCCTGGTTGGAAGACTGAAGGGATCTGGTGGATTGATACTCAGTCAATAACTCCGAGAGATAAGAAGGGGCCAAACCATTTAGAGATTTATAAACGAAGAGCAAAATTGTAAAATCCACTCGAAAACTAACAGTTTACTGCCCTCACTATGTGTACACATACATAGCTATCCAGCAAGCTTAACACTCCTCCAACAAAGACTTGAGACAACAACTGAATCCAAGTGCAATTTAATGGAAGCGGTGTAAAACTCCAAAAAACAACGACAGAAGCATAGATGAGCATAAGCAACTTCTAACACATCCATTTTCAATGATAAATAGCACAGCATACATAGCAATAGCGTAAACAACATTACAGGGCACACATCTTACATTTCCTTTAGTATGCAAATGAATAAAATACATCATTATTGAAAGATTCTTAACAATAAATACTTGGATTAGGTGAATCCAACAAGCTGAAGAGTACTAGTCTTACACACACACACGTACACTCATCTAACATCTCCAAATACAACAACACAACCTACAACAAACCGACAGTGTCTTTTCCAAGAATAAATTAAGTGTGGATGGAGATTGGTATCGTCTGTGTGCCCTCCCAAACACCTCACAACATAATGGCTGAACAGCACATGCTCTGCTTAAATATAGACATGTCACCACTAGAAGTCGCTAAATTGCGAAACTAGAGCTGAAAACAGCATAAACAGGCAACCAATGTAGTGAGCGTAAAATAGGAGTAATATGCTCCCTCTTTTTAACCCCACTCGAGTCGAGCCGCAGAATTTTGAACAAGCTGCAAACGGAATAAAGCTGTCTGGCTAATCCCAAAATAAAGTGAGTTACAGTAGTCCAGCCTAGATGAAATAAAAACGTGAATTACTTTTTCAAAATCTTTAAAAGAAAGAAAAAGTTTAGCTTTAGAAAGCAAACGCTGGTGAAAAAAAGCAAGCTTTGACAACTGAATTTATTTGACGGTCAAACTTTAAGCCATCATCAAAAATGAAACCAAGGTTTTTTACCCATGATTTTAAACACGGAGACATCCCACCCAAATCCAGTTTCGGGGATTTTGAAAATTCAGACGGACTAAAATCTATCATTTCAGTTTTCTTTTCATTGAATATTAAAAAATGTAAGGAAAGCCAAGCCTTTACATCCGCCAAACATGCCATAAGAGACTCAAGACCCACAGAATTGCGTTTGACAGGCAAATAAACCTGGGTGTCATCCGCATAACAGTAAAATGACAAACCATGTTTTCTAAAAATCGAGCCAAGAGGGAGCATATAGAGAGAAAAAAGCAAAGGAGCCAAAATAGAACCCTGGGGAACCCCACAGGGCAAAAAAGCATTACTCGAGTAATGTTCACCCATCTTGACTGAAAAACTCCTATTTACAAAATACAATTTAAACCAATCTAGAGCGACACCTCTTAAACCAACGCAATGTTTTAAACGATGAGAACAGCATGACCGACTGTATCAAAAGCGGCCGTCAAATCTAAGAGCACAAGGACTGCAAAATCACCCGAATCACATGATATTAAAATATCATTAAGAACCTTCAAAAGTGCAGTCTCGGTAGAATGGCATTTACGAAAACCTGACTGAAATGTTTCAAACATTAAATTATCAGCTAAATAACTAATTTTTCACATTATTAATAAGAGTCAAATTTGTATACTTCCCAACTCAGGTTTAGTGCTTTACTGTCATATGTGCATTGCCAAGAAATAAACATGTAATATTATTAGCAACTGCGCTCATTAATGTAAAACATTAGTAATTTTATGATTAAATTATCTTCCCCACCCCTCCCCCCAAACCTGCTTCTTTGTGCCACCATGTGTAGAACTCAGTGGCACTGGTGTCTCTGCTCTCAAATTTTATTCTGGAGCCCTACTTATGAATGTATTAAAAAAAATTGACTGAAACATTTTTTTTCTGTGTTTAGATGATCTAATTTTCATTCATCAGCTAAAATGTAGCCTAAAGAAGAAGTATCAATGTGTGTTTGAAGGAATTACAAAGCAAGGTGACTCTACACTTCTAAAAAACATCTACACAGATCTCTATATCACTCAGGGTTGTAGTGAACAGGTCAATACTGAACATGAGGTAAGGCAGATTGAAGTTGCTTCCAGGCGTCACGAATCACAAGAAATACCAGTTGAATGCACAAAGATGTTTGAAGCACCTGAACAAGACAAGCAGATCAGAACTGTACTGACAACAGGAGTTGCTGGCATCGGAAAATCAGTCTCTGTGCAGAAGTTTATTCTGGATTGGGCTGAAGGAAAAGAAAATCCAGATATTAGTTTTATGTTTCCTCTTCCATTCAGAGAGATGAACCTAAAGGAGAAAGAAAAACTAAGTTTAATGGACCTTATAACTCAGTTTTTCCCAGAGACAAAAGGACTTAACCTTACAAGAAGAAATAAATTTAAAGTTCTGTTCATCCTTGATGGATTGGATGAATGTCGTCTTCCTCTGAACTTTGATGGTAATGTGACGTGGGCTGATATATCATCACCTGCCTCTCTGGATGTTCTCCTGACGAACCTCATCAAGGGAAATCTGCTTCCTTCTGCTCTCATCTGGATCACCACCAGACCAGCAGCTGCCAGTAAGATTCCTCCTGACTGTATCGACCAGCTGACAGAGATACGAGGATTCAATGATGCACAAAAGGAAGAGTACTTCAAAAAAAGATTCATGGATGGCAATCGGGCCAAAGAAATCATTGATCATGTTAAAAAATCAAAGAGTCTGTTTATCATGTGCTACATCCCAGTCTTCTGCTGGATTTCAGCGACTGTTTTTCAGAACATTTTAGAGGAGAAAAGAAAGAATGATCTGAAAAACAATGAGGCTGGTGACTCCTCCAAAACACTGCAGGAATCAAACACTGAAGACACTCCCAAGACTCTGACACAAATGTACACACACTTTCTCCGCTTTCAGATCCAGCAGAGAAGACGAAAGTACGATGGAGAATACGCACCAGATGTTTCCTGGGATAAAGACGCCATCCTTTCACTGGGGAAACTGGCATTTCAACAGCTGGAAAAAAACAACCTGATCTTCTATGACACAGATCTGGAGGCCTGTGGTATTGATGCCTCTAAAGCATCAGTGTATTCAGGCATGTGTACCCAGATCTTTAAGGAGGAAACAGGGATCATTCTTGGTACCATGTACTGTTTTGTTCACTTGAGCATTCAAGAGTTTATTGCAGCCCTTTATGCACATCTGTTTCTAGACAAAAACAAGACAAGCGTATTTGTTCAAGACTCTACAGAACAGGAAAACAAAAATGAAGCCATGATTGATTTGCTCAAGACTGCAGTGGACAAGGCACTTGAGAGTGACAATGGACATCTGGACATTTTCCTTCGTTTCCTTCTCGGTCTGTCACTCCAGTCCAATCGACGACTCTTACGAGGTCTTTTGACACAGCAAGACTGCAATGACCAGAACTACAAGGAAATAGTTCAGTACATCAAGCAAAAATTAGAAGATGATTTGCTCAAGACTGCAGTGGACAAGGCACTTGAGAGTGACAATGGACATCTGGACCTTTTCCTTCGTTTCCTTCTCGGTCTGTCACTCCAGTCCAATCGACGACTCTTACGAGGTCTTTTGACACAGCAAGACTGCAATGACCAGAACTATATATATATATATATAAATGCGTACAACATTCTTCATTCTTATATATGTATTTATATAAATTAATATTAATCCTTATTAAGGCTAGTAAAGTGTTTCAGTCAAGAGCAGTGAGTGATTTTCTCTCTGCCTTTTGTTGTTTAATTAACATTAATTACACAGATAACAGCAATAATTTAGCTGCTGTCCCTTTAAAACTGAATGCACAGATCCAATTCACTGATGCACAGTCCAATATTTCACCAACTTTTTGGGTTCACTTAAGACATAACCAAGTGTGTTTACGTAGATACGCACCAAAACTGACAATTTGACATATTTTTGTGTGTATTTGTCAGTTCAAGTGCAATAAGATGCAAAAGAGAAATTCATTTTTTGCACTCTCTAAAAGGCACTTTCTGTGTTTGCGCTCATATGTCTGATCTTACTCCCAGACATTGACATGTTTTAATGTTTAATGAGATGTTCCACAAGTGTATGCAAACTCATGTCTCGCCGGGTAGATCAGTTCATTACAGTTCTGAATGGATCTCTTCCTAAATCGTCCCTCCCTGACATTTTTATATTGTATTCATTCATGAAAATGTCAATATATTTTCATCATAGGTTTGTCATACAGAGCTGATGTTTATTCCGTTATTGCCTCATTTTCATCAGTGAAAAAATGTTGTTTGACGAATAGGTTTAAGTTAGCAGAGGACAAAGCACAGCAGTTAACAGTCAACATTATACAACACATTGGTTTATAGTTATTTTCACTAACTTTTACTATGTACTCTTCAATTTCTGCTTTAAAGCAAATATGCTCTTACATAACTTAAAATGTTCTAATCATGAAACCCCCCAAATCTCCTCCTCAAGACACTCATCAAGCAACTCAGTGTTATTAAAGCTATTGACCTTAATAAACCATTTTTATTCAAACATGCTTCATTTTATCTTGCAAATGTCATAGTTTTTGAAGAGGAATATTAGTGTAGTTTCTTCATGTAAAATAATGGGAACATATTTGTATGTTGAAAAATGTATTGTATACGTTCCTCCTAATTCTGTGATGTGATTTATTTCCCTTGCAGACTAAATGATTGTAATTTAACAGACAAAAGCTGTCCAGCTCTGGCTACACTTATTGGATCAGATACCAGTCTGAAAGAGCTGAACATGAACAATAATAATCTGCAGGATTCAGGAGTGAAGAAAATCTGTAGTGGACTGAAGAGGGTAAAGTGTGAATTAGAGATACTGAGGTAAGTTGTGAGGCAACAGATGTTTTAGGTATTTTTACTCTTTAAAATGTATGACAATGTATTATTTGTATATAACTAAATACACTAGATGAATGTCCTGTATTACCATTTCAAGAAATATGGGCAGTGTGCAAATGCTGGATTTATATATATATATATATATATATATACTTTTTTTTTTGCCTGATTGAACTTTCATTATCAAGGTGTTAAAAAGTACAGTTTCTAAATTTAAGCTAACAGCAGCTAGCTAACAATGATTAAAGGGCCATTAAAACCAGACAACATATTACAAACCAGACTTGATCAAAAGTATAATGCTCAGAATGGAATTAGAACAGGCTTGATCTTGTAAAGAGACATACTTTTAATAGTGCTACAGGTATGAAATGTGCAATGAGCAACATTTTGAGCTGGTTGCTTGTAGAGCAGGACTGCAAGAACTCTATCTGAAGAATTAAGATGGGGACATAAGAGGGGACTTGCACATCATTGTACACTTTTGTCACAAACTTCACTGAATGAGTGCAAACTCATGCATGTGCATTGAAATAACAGAGCTTGATAAGAAGCACGGAAACTAACTGAAATCTTTTAAGTATTTGTTATTGGACATTGTTGGACTTCAATCTAAGGTTTAAAACTGTATTTGGAATGCTTGTAATTGTGATTTTTATGAGTTCAGTAACTGTAAAGGGATTATAGTTATTGGATGTAGACTTCTAAGTGTCAACTCTAGAATCTACATATATAGAGATGGCGCTGTTTTTCTTTGTTGCAATTTATCATTTAGTGATTTAATCATTAGTTGCAGTCCTAGATCAGTTCTGACTCAGTGTTGAGTCAGAATTCAGATCAGTGTGTTAGAGCTGGTTAATCTTCTGCAAAAAGGAGAGTGAAATCTGGTAATCACCATTGCCCTTTTGAACGGTCTATTACATTGCATGGAATCACGCTTGGGGAACTCTGTTTTCCTCTAAATACTAAAGGCTGATTTGTTCATGTTTCTGCAGCTGCACAAACCTATAGCCAAAATCTGCCAAATTAGGTGGAGCCAACTCCTTATAAGTATGCGTTGAATGCAGTTTCATAATAATCTTTCTCCTTCACCCTGAGGATGAGCTCCTCGCTGAAAGAGAGAAAAAAAACCTTTCTGCTTGCCATAGAAGAGCCCCAGCAGAGGAATGCAGGGCTGTCAGCTCACATAGCTGAGAATGTCATCTCTCCACTGCGGCTATTGTTAGAATTTGCTGTAATTGGCTGAGCAGTGGTTTGGGTGGCTCGCCAATGTAATAGATTTCTCTATTACATAAAATAAGTAAGCTTGACCAGAGTTCTTATGGGGAGAAGAATTTATTGAAGGTAGCAGTGTAGCAGTTATTTAGCAGCGATGTTAGCATATCTTCTTTCAAACAATCTTAACCCAAGGTACTGTCTGTGAGACCAGACCTTTATACCTGGTAACAAATGTGCTACAACAATACAATAACACCCCATGGAGAGCCAATGATAGTGTAACCTCATGATGACCTGATAGGACCTCTGTCATGGAGAGTCCATGATACATTCCTGTTCCTATTGAGGACATCTGAGGCACAGTCACAATGTAAATGCATCTGACTAAAGATACACATAATCTTTCACTATCTGACGAGACTATTAGAGCATATTTTGCCTGAAAGAGCGTATTTTTTGAGGCATTTGCTGCAAAATGTCATGCCACAGATGTGGCTCATGCAGGGTGCTCCTGCATTCCTTGTATGATAACTCTGAGCGCGCTGCCTGCTTGGGCAAGCCCACACAGAGGCTGTGTTCACAGAGACAGCTGTTCTCATTATATTCTCATCACTTTCTTTGTAGACAGCAACCCCACCCCTTGTGCTCCCTTTTTTTTCTTCCTCTCAGGAAGAAAAACAGTGGAGTTATGGGGCAAAGCCAGTGACAAGTAGCCAGCGAGCTCCCCAGCCCGATCTCACAGCAATTTGTACATATTGTACGAGGTGGCTAATTTGTACAAATTCGTAGGCTACGACCTCACTCGTACAAATTCATATGATTTTTGCTAAATCGTACGTATACAAGTTGCACAATTCATATTAATTTGTACGAATTACCTACTCCTTACCCCACCCCTGAACCTACCCGTCGCTGGGGTCTAGACAAATCGTACAAAATCGTACTAGTGAGGTCGTACGAATTCGTACAAATTTGCCACCTCGTAAAATATGTACAACTTGGCCATGAGATAGCGTTAAGCCCCCATAAGAGACCTGCCCCATTATTTCCTGGAAGTTCACATTGATCTTTCTACATTGTGGCGCACCCATTCTCAGCCTGCATCCACTTTTCAGTCTCGGCTTCCCTCACTTCTGTGACGGCACCGAACAGAAGGGGTATGACAAGCCCCTCCCCTAGAAGAGGCCATGCATCTTTGCATTCCATGGATTGGCAATGCTGTCCACAATTTCTGAGCCCTGCAGAGTGACATTGGCCATAGCCAATCCACATCATGAATTACTTTAATGACTGGTTAGTAGGGTGACCACCTGGCTATAGATCTGTTGCAGGACAGTAGATGTGATTTTGCTGGACATGTGTGAGACAGATATATGTACTACTGTTATACTATGCAAATACTGATTTACATCCGATTTATGTTTTTGCCGGTGGATGCCCACACTTCATAAGGTTGCGCTTCTGGCAACATCAAATTCAGGAGAGAAGATAAGGTTTGAGCACACATATCTAATGTCTGACAGATAGAGAACGCATCTGTTTTGTTTGACCACTTATTTACACTGCACACGTCTGTGTCGTGTTACAGCTGTGACATGGCCACCGGAGCTGATCTCTAGTCAATGCTTGTGTTTATACCAGCCGCGCCATTTCAGAAGCATCCCAGAAGCAGCTCTCCACGCTGCTTCACTAAAAATAGGTGCCTAGTCTACACTCTTAAAGATAAAGGTGCTTCACGATGCCATAGAATAACCTTTTTATCTAAATGGTTCCATAAAGAACCCTTAACATCTGAAGAACCTTTCTGTTTCACAAAAGGTTCTTTGGGGCAAAAGAAGGTTCTTCAGATTACAAAAAGCTAAGAAAGAGATGATTCTTTAAAGAACCTTTGACTGAATGGTTCTTTGTGGAACCAAAAATGGTTCTTCTTTGGCATCGCTTGAAGAACCTTTTGAAGCACCTTTATTTTTAAGAGTGTATTTTTGAAGGATGCCACATCCAAGCCTCACAGTTCGAATACAAAAAAAATCAAGAAATCGTGATTTTGACAAGCAAATCACCGCGCCATTTCAGAAGCATCCCAGAAGCAGCTCTCCACGCTGCTTCACTAAAAATAGGTGCCTAGTCTACACTCTTAAAGATAAAGGTGCTTCACGATGCCATAGAAGAACCTTTTTGTCTAAATGGTTCCATAAAGAACCCTTAACATCTGAAGAACCTTTCTGTTTCACAAAAGGTTCTTTGGGGCAAAAGAAGGTTCTTCAGATTACAAAAAGCTAAGAAAGAGATGATTCTTTAAAGAACCTTTGACTGAATGGTTCTTTGTGGAACCAAAAATGGTTCTTCTTTGGCATCGCTTGAAGAACCTTTTGAAGCACCTTTATTTTTAAGAGTGTATTTTTGAAGGATGCCACATCCAAGCCTCACAGTTCGAATACAAAAAAAATCAAGAAACTCATTTTGACAAGCAAATCACGTGGTCTCGCAAATCCAGTTGATTCGCTTCTCAAATGTTCTCGGTGTGAGTTGGCACTGTGTGGAGGACATAACAAAATGCGGAACATGGTGGTTTCCCTACTAGCTAGTATTAGCACGGTTGGAGCACAAGCTCTGTGCTCACGGGTCACTGCTCCTCAGCCACCTAGGGCTTCTTGGGCTCAGAATCAACTCGCAATAATTAAACAAGAATCGGCAAACTGCCGTTGCTGCCAATTTATTAAAGTAAACACAACGTTTCGACCCTAAAGTCTTCTTCAGAATCAACTCAGCCAAGAGCTGTCTGTCTCCTAGCAGATGAGTCACTTTTCTGGGGACAGTTGTCGACTTGGCCCAAATGTGGTTGCAATCTGGGGCTTTCTTTCCCCTTAAAGCTTTCCAGAGGATCTTGGGCCTGATGGCAGCCATATCCCCTGTGATACCAATGTGCCTGCTCCACATGCAACTCCAGCAGTATTGGCTAAAAGCCTGTGTCCCTTCCTACACCTGGCATTGACTAAACATTTCTGTTGATGTCTAACAAATTAAAGTTCTCTGTGCCTTTTTTGCCTCTATAGTTATTTATCAGTTTTTTGCAACTAACTTTCAATATATTTGTAAAAATAATGAAATCCAATTAACTATTGGGATTATTCAGGTAATTTTTTGAATAACAGTGATTTTCTTTTCTTCTCTGTCCTAGACTTTCAAACTGCAGTATCACAGAAGAAGGTTATAAAGCTCTGGCTTCAGCTCTGAGATCAAACCCTTCACACCTGATAGAGCTGGATCTCACAGGAAATGATCCTGGACATTCAGGAGTGAAGCAGCTCACTAACGTGCTACAGAATAGATACTGTAGATTAAAGATACTCAGGTGATAAATGTCTTTAAAAATATCAAATATGCCACAGATGTTTGAAACTTGTACAATTGGATCGACAGAAAGAGAAGTCTACTGCAATTCAAAATGTTCATTAGTTCAACACAAGTTTGGAGACAAAATGCATAGACTTGCATTAACAATTCTCGAAAATAAACCTCCACTATGGCCCATAAAATTAATATATTAAATAAAATAAAATATAAAAATTATGTTTATCAATGACATTGTCAACGTCATATTACATTTCTGCAACAGCCCATATGGTGTATAAAAGGTAATTGTAAACTACTATTCTTCATTATAAACTACTCCTGAACTTAATTTTTAATTTAACATATAGTCTTACAGTACATAATCTGTGTTCAAATCATTAACTGTAAGATTCTCCAAATGATGGAGCTACAGTACTGCCCAAAAGTGTAATAATTGCTTTTAACTACCATATACGTTTGATTAAGCAATCACAGTATGAGTAAGATGTTATTTTGGGAATAGGAAAACACTAAACCTGGTTAAGGTATTTAACTGACAAAAGTATTTTTTACATACAGCATAAGGGCCTTTCGCACCACCGGAACTGGGTGCGATTTTAGTACCGGACTGCCTTTTCCGAGAACCAAATTAGCTCCTACTCCGGAGCAGGGTCTAACCAGCACAACTGGTAGTACCCGTGACGTAAGTAAACACTGATTGGCCAAACGCGTACGAAAACGCCCTCACCCGCCATGATTTAAAGCGCAGTGTAAACATACTGTAAACATTGTGTCAACTTATTTCGCAAGTATGGACAACAGCGATAGATAGATGGAGGCTGAAGTGCAGGCACTTGTAGCACTGCCAGTTGTCGTTGGAGATTCTTAGTCCTCCTTTCCGTTCTTTCAATCGCTATATATACGTCAACATTCCATGTCCATTATTGTGAAACCTGCGAGACAAAACAAAAACACAGCTCCGATCACAGCGTCCTCCATCCTCCTGTGGTTAACATTGTTTTTCTTTGTTTCCATTGTTGAACGCCGCTCACAAATGACGTCGCTGTCGACCGGCTTACGTCACTTCCTAGTACACACTGTCCGTGCGAATGCAACCCTTTAAATGGTGCTAGGAAATAGTTCGCACAAAATCGTCCCAGTACTTTAGTACTGTACATTTAGTTCTGGAACTAAAGCGGTGCGAAAGGCCCTACACATACAGCACCATTGCGCTTCGGGCATCCCGAGTTCGAGTCCCGGCTCTCACACCTTTCCCGATCCCATCCCCCACTCTCTCACCCTCTTCACTTCCTGTCGACCTATACTGTCCTATCTAAATAAAGGCATAACACGTCATAAATAAATCATAAAAAAGTTAATCTATTTACTGTTTATGTAAAAGATGGTAAACATATTTAATGTTTGTATTTAACGAATGTATTATTTGCATTTTGTTTTATGATGTAATTTATTTTCCCTTGTAGGCTAAATGGTTGTAATTTAACAGACAAAAACTGCTCAGCTCTGGCTACACTTCTTGGATCAGAAACCAATCTGAAAGAGCTGAACATGAACAATAATAATCTGCAGGATTCAGGGGTGACTTATCTCTGTACTGGACTGAAGAATATGAAGTGCAGATTGGAGATACTGAGGTAAGTTGTGTGACAACAGACATTGATCTCAACCAAAACTGAAAGTCTGAAATGTTTGAAATATTCCATAAAATCTACTGTAGGTATAAAAATATACTCTTTGAATAATAATACAGTAAAGGACTAATAAGGAATTGCCTTTTAAAAATATGGGAAGTATGCAAATTATGCTTACTTGCTTTCTTTGCCTAACTATCGTTACCAGTAACTGAAAGAATATAATTTTTTTGCAAAAGGCATCACCTATTAATTTGAGTTTTTAACAGCCACTCCAAATTGTCTCAAATAAACTTTTTGACAAAAGTCACATTTTGGTCAAAGCACTGAAAATCACAATTTGCATGTTTTAACAGCCATTTGCTAGCATAAAAATAGCTGAATAACTAGTGTAGTGTTACATTTGTTATTTTTGCTCTTGACTTTCAAACTGCTGAAGAAGGGTTTTACATTTTGGCTTGAAAATAACTGAAAGATAATATTATGATCAGATTAATTTAGAATCATCTGCAGTTAGAGTCATATGCACTTAAGATTTAAATTGCAAGTGCAATGAGTTTTCTTTCTTTTTTTTTTTGAAAAGATCGATACTATTAGAAAGGCGATCAGCATATCCTCAAGTTGTGCAGAGGTCAAACAGATCCGACCAAAATTTCAGAAAGCATTTGGGTCATTAGTCAGTTAATCAGTTAAAAATACTAAGGGTTCACTCAAATGTGCCAAAACAGTATCCACATTTAAATCTAGACTCAAAACATAATCTGTTTAGCTGTGCATTTACTGAATGAGCACTATGCTACATCCAAATGATTGCACTGTATTTTATGTATGGATGTTTATTATTTCCAGGCTCAGTAAGTGTGATCTAACAGAGAAAAGCTGTTCAGATCTTGCTTCAGTTCTCAATTCAGACTCCAGCAGTCTGAAGGATCTTGACCTGAGCAACAACAATCTGCATGATTCAGGAGTGAAGCTGCTCTCTGATGGACTGAAAGAGAACTGTAAACTAGAGAAACTCAGGTGAGTTGATATCTAACAAATGAATGGTCTCTGGGCCTTTGCTTGCCACCATATTTAGTCATCAGTTTTATTTTTAAAACAGTTTAAATTCATGTGTTCAAGGAACACAATGAATGAACTATTTATTTTTTAACGATTCATTTTCTTGAAGAACAGATTATACATTTGACTGTTACATTTTCAATCCTGTTCTAGACTCTCTAACTGTAGTGTAACAGAAAAAGGCTATAAAGCTCTGGATTCTGCTAGATTAATAGTCTATTGGTCTTTGATTGTCTCCATATTCAGTCATCAGTTTTTCTTTGAAAATTCATTTGTACATTGAAGACAGTTCACAAGCGGCTTGCTTTTTATGGATTTTTGTTATTTAGGACACTGTGTTGAATAATTGATTAATCAACTGAATGTTTCATTTATATTTCTTTTCTAGATTTTCAAACTGCAGTATCACTGAAGAAGGTTATAAAGCTCTGGCTTCGGCTCTGAGATCAAACCCTTCACACCTGATAGAGCTGGATCTCACAAGAAATAATCCTGGACAATCAGGAGTGAAGGAGCTCGTTGATTTACTACAGGATGGACACTGTTCATTAAAGACCATCAGGTGATAAAATCACCTTGAAATACACATATTTTAAAATAAGCAGCAAATGTGATATCAGCTGAATAAAAAACTAGGGAGATGTGGTCAGATGGGCCAATGTACAATTTTAATTTCAAGAAGAGAAATGTACTGCAATTCAAAATTACTGTCACACACATTTTATTTTATGTCCAGCACAAGTTTTCATAGAAAACACATGTAATTACATTATAAATTATATCATAATATAATATAACATTATAAATATCGCTCTTAGGACAATGAAACTCCAAAAAGTTATGCTCTCAACACACTGCATTTAGCATATTATCAACATCAATATAACTTTGTTAATTGAAACCAGAGCCATTAGTCTTAACTGCAAAAAGGGAACTAATATAAGACTGACTAATCTACAATTCTTATCATCTTCCTGTAGGTTTCTGAAATGTCCTGGTGCACAGGAAGTGTGTGAGTGTCTCACTGAAGTTCTGGGTAAAAATCCATTATTACTGCAAGAACTGGATCTGAGTGGAGACATATTAGAAGCCCTGGATGGGGAGAAGCTCTCTGCTCTTTTGATGGACTCTCATAGCAAGGTGGAGACAATTAAGTGAGTGAACATGATTTTATGCATTATAACTTTTTTTATTATTATTATGAAAAGACCGTTAGTCATGTGTGAGCAAATATGAAGACCTGTTGATCTGATGTGTGTTGAATATGTGCTGAATAATACATAATGCTGTGTTTGTGTTTAGTGTGAATAATTGTGAGCTGACAGAGAAGAGCTGTTCAGTTCTAGCTACTGTTCTCTCCTCCAAAACCATGCTGGAAGAGATGAACCTGAACAACAGCCGTCTGCTGGACTCAGGAGTCAAAGAGATCTGTGAGGGACTGAAGAATCCTGTGTGTGAGCAAGGTGTTAAAAAGTACAGTTTCTAAATTTAAGCTAACAGCAGCTAGCTAACAATGATTAAAGGGCCATTAAAACCAGACAACATATTACAAACCAGACTTGATCAAAAGTATAATGCTCAGAATGGAATTAGAACAGGCTTGATCTTGTAAAGAGACATACTTTTAATAGTGCTACAGGTATGAAATGTGCAATGAGCAACATTTTGAGCTGGTTGCTTGTAGAGCAGGACTGCAAGAACTCTATCTGAAGAATTAAGATGGGGACATAAGAGGGGACTTGCACATCATTGTACACTTTTGTCACAAACTTCACTGAATGAGTGCAAACTCATGCATGTGCATTGAAATAACAGAGCTTGATAAGAAGCACGGAAACTAACTGAAATCTTTTAAGTATTTGTTATTGGACATTGTTGGACTTCAATCTAAGGTTTAAAACTGTATTTGGAATGCTTGTAATTGTGATTTTTATGAGTTCAGTAACTGTAAAGGGATTATAGTTATTGGATGTAGACTTCTAAGTGTCAACTCTAGAATCTACATATATAGAGATGGCGCTGTTTTTCTTTGTTGCAATTTATCATTTAGTGATTTAATCATTAGTTGCAGTCCTAGATCAGTTCTGACTCAGTGTTGAGTCAGAATTCAGATCAGTGTGTTAGAGCTGGTTAATCTTCTGCAAAAAGGAGAGTGAAATCTGGTAATCACCATTGCCCTTTTGAACGGTCTATTACATTGCATGGAATCACGCTTGGGGAACTCTGTTTTCCTCTAAATACTAAAGGCTGATTTGTTCATGTTTCTGCAGCTGCACAAACCTATAGCCAAAATCTGCCAAATTAGGTGGAGCCAACTCCTTATAAGTATGCGTTGAATGCAGTTTCATAATAATCTTTCTCCTTCACCCTGAGGATGAGCTCCTCGCTGAAAGAGAGAAAAAAAACCTTTCTGCTTGCCATAGAAGAGCCCCAGCAGAGGAATGCAGGGCTGTCAGCTCACATAGCTGAGAATGTCATCTCTCCACTGCGGCTATTGTTAGAATTTGCTGTAATTGGCTGAGCAGTGGTTTGGGTGGCTCGCCAATGTAATAGATTTCTCTATTACATAAAATAAGTAAGCTTGACCAGAGTTCTTATGGGGAGAATAATTTATTGAAGGTAGCAGTGTAGCAGTTATTTAGCAGCGATGTTAGCATATCTTCTTTCAAACAATCTTAACCCAAGGTACTGTCTGTGAGACCAGACCTTTATACCTGGTAACAAATGTGCTACAACAATACAATAACACCCCATGGAGAGCCAATGATAGTGTAACCTCATGATGACCTGATAGGACCTCTGTCATGGAGAGTCCATGATACATTCCTGTTCCTATTGAGGACATCTGAGGCACAGTCACAATGTAAATGCATCTGACTAAAGATACACATAATCTTTCACTATCTGACGAGACTATTAGAGCATATTTTGCCTGAAAGAGCGTATTTTTTGAGGCATTTGCTGCAAAATGTCATGCCACAGATGTGGCTCATGCAGGGTGCTCCTGCATTCCTTGTATGATAACTCTGAGCGCGCTGCCTGCTTGGGCAAGCCCACACAGAGGCTGTGTTCACAGAGACAGCTGTTCTCATTATATTCTCATCACTTTCTTTGTAGACAGCAACCCCACCCCTTGTGCTCCCTTTTTTTTCTTCCTCTCAGGAAGAAAAACAGTGGAGTTATGGGGCAAAGCCAGTGACAAGTAGCCAGCGAGCTCCCCAGCCCGATCTCACAGCAATTTGTACATATTGTACGAGGTGGCTAATTTGTACAAATTCGTAGGCTACGACCTCACTCGTACAAATTCATATGATTTTTGCTAAATCGTACGTATACAAGTTGCACAATTCATATTAATTTGTACGAATTACCTACTCCTTACCCCACCCCTGAACCTACCCGTCGCTGGGGTCTAGACAAATCGTACAAAATCGTACTAGTGAGGTCGTACGAATTCGTACAAATTTGCCACCTCGTAAAATATGTACAACTTGGCCATGAGATAGCGTTAAGCCCCCATAAGAGACCTGCCCCATTATTTCCTGGAAGTTCACATTGATCTTTCTACATTGTGGCGCACCCATTCTCAGCCTGCATCCACTTTTCAGTCTCGGCTTCCCTCACTTCTGTGACGGCACCGAACAGAAGGGGTATGACAAGCCCCTCCCCTAGAAGAGGCCATGCATCTTTGCATTCCATGGATTGGCAATGCTGTCCACAATTTCTGAGCCCTGCAGAGTGACATTGGCCATAGCCAATCCACATCATGAATTACTTTAATGACTGGTTAGTAGGGTGACCACCTGGCTATAGATCTGTTGCAGGACAGTAGATGTGATTTTGCTGGACATGTGTGAGACAGATATATGTACTACTGTTATACTATGCAAATACTGATTTACATCCGATTTATGTTTTTGCCGGTGGATGCCCACACTTCATAAGGTTGCGCTTCTGGCAACATCAAATTCAGGAGAGAAGATAAGGTTTGAGCACACATATCTAATGTCTGACAGATAGAGAACGCATCTGTTTTGTTTGACCACTTATTTACACTGCACACGTCTGTGTCGTGTTACAGCTGTGACATGGCCACCGGAGCTGATCTCTAGTCAATGCTTGTGTTTATACCAGCCGCGCCATTTCAGAAGCATCCCAGAAGCAGCTCTCCACGCTGCTTCACTAAAAATAGGTGCCTAGTCTACACTCTTAAAGATAAAGGTGCTTCACGATGCCATAGAATAACCTTTTTATCTAAATGGTTCCATAAAGAACCCTTAACATCTGAAGAACCTTTCTGTTTCACAAAAGGTTCTTTGGGGCAAAAGAAGGTTCTTCAGATTACAAAAAGCTAAGAAAGAGATGATTCTTTAAAGAACCTTTGACTGAATGGTTCTTTGTGGAACCAAAAATGGTTCTTCTTTGGCATCGCTTGAAGAACCTTTTGAAGCACCTTTATTTTTAAGAGTGTATTTTTGAAGGATGCCACATCCAAGCCTCACAGTTCGAATACAAAAAAAATCAAGAAACTCATTTTGACAAGCAAATCACGTGGTCTCGCAAATCCAGTTGATTCGCTTCTCAAATGTTCTCGGTGTGAGTTGGCACTGTGTGGAGGACATAACAAAATGCGGAACATGGTGGTTTCCCTACTAGCTAGTATTAGCACGGTTGGAGCACAAGCTCTGTGCTCACGGGTCACTGCTCCTCAGCCACCTAGGGCTTCTTGGGCTCAGAATCAACTCGCAATAATTAAACAAGAATCGGCAAACTGCCGTTGCTGCCAATTTATTAAAGTAAACACAACGTTTCGACCCTAAAGTCTTCTTCAGAATCAACTCAGCCAAGAGCTGTCTGTCTCCTAGCAGATGAGTCACTTTTCTGGGGACAGTTGTCGACTTGGCCCAAATGTGGTTGCAATCTGGGGCTTTCTTTCCCCTTAAAGCTTTCCAGAGGATCTTGGGCCTGATGGCAGCCATATCCCCTGTGATACCAATGTGCCTGCTCCACATGCAACTCCAGCAGTATTGGCTAAAAGCCTGTGTCCCTTCCTACACCTGGCATTGACTAAACATTTCTGTTGATGTCTAACAAATTAAAGTTCTCTGTGCCTTTTTTGCCTCTATAGTTATTTATCAGTTTTTTGCAACTAACTTTCAATATATTTGTAAAAATAATGAAATCCAATTAACTATTGGGATTATTCAGGTAATTTTTTGAATAACAGTGATTTTCTTTTCTTCTCTGTCCTAGACTTTCAAACTGCAGTATCACAGAAGAAGGTTATAAAGCTCTGGCTTCAGCTCTGAGATCAAACCCTTCACACCTGATAGAGCTGGATCTCACAGGAAATGATCCTGGACATTCAGGAGTGAAGCAGCTCACTAACGTGCTACAGAATAGATACTGTAGATTAAAGATACTCAGGTGATAAATGTCTTTAAAAATATCAAATATGCCACAGATGTTTGAAACTTGTACAATTGGATCGACAGAAAGAGAAGTCTACTGCAATTCAAAATGTTCATTAGTTCAACACAAGTTTGGAGACAAAATGCATAGACTTGCATTAACAATTCTCGAAAATAAACCTCCACTATGGCCCATAAAATTAATATATTAAATAAAATAAAATATAAAAATTATGTTTATCAATGACATTGTCAACGTCATATTACATTTCTGCAACAGCCCATATGGTGTATAAAAGGTAATTGTAAACTACTATTCTTCATTATAAACTACTCCTGAACTTAATTTTTAATTTAACATATAGTCTTACAGTACATAATCTGTGTTCAAATCATTAACTGTAAGATTCTCCAAATGATGGAGCTACAGTACTGCCCAAAAGTGTAATAATTGCTTTTAACTACCATATACGTTTGATTAAGCCATCACAGTATGAGTAAGATGTTATTTTGGGAATAGGAAAACACTAAACCTGGTTAAGGTATTTAACTGACAAAAGTATTTTTTACATACAGCATAAGGGCCTTTCGCACCACCGGAACTGGGTGCGATTTTAGTACCGGACTGCCTTTTCCGAGAACCAAATTAGCTCCTACTCCGGAGCAGGGTCTAACCAGCACAACTGGTAGTACCCGTGACGTAAGTAAACACTGATTGGCCAAACGCGTACGAAAACGCCCTCACCCGCCATGATTTAAAGCGCAGTGTAAACATACTGTAAACATTGTGTCAACTTATTTCGCAAGTATGGACAACAGCGATAGATAGATGGAGGCTGAAGTGCAGGCACTTGTAGCACTGCCAGTTGTCGTTGGAGATTCTTAGTCCTCCTTTCCGTTCTTTCAATCGCTATATATACGTCAACATTCCATGTCCATTATTGTGAAACCTGCGAGACAAAACAAAAACACAGCTCCGATCACAGCGTCCTCCATCCTCCTGTGGTTAACATTGTTTTTCTTTGTTTCCATTGTTGAACGCCGCTCACAAATGACGTCGCTGTCGACCGGCTTACGTCACTTCCTAGTACACACTGTCCGTGCGAATGCAACCCTTTAAATGGTGCTAGGAAATAGTTCGCACAAAATCGTCCCAGTACTTTAGTACTGTACATTTAGTTCTGGAACTAAAGCGGTGCGAAAGGCCCTACACATACAGCACCATTGCGCTTCGGGCATCCCGAGTTCGAGTCCCGGCTCTCACACCTTTCCCGATCCCATCCCCCACTCTCTCACCCTCTTCACTTCCTGTCGACCTATACTGTCCTATCTAAATAAAGGCATAACACGTCATAAATAAATCATAAAAAAGTTAATCTATTTACTGTTTATGTAAAAGATGGTAAACATATTTAATGTTTGTATTTAACGAATGTATTATTTGCATTTTGTTTTATGATGTAATTTATTTTCCCTTGTAGGCTAAATGGTTGTAATTTAACAGACAAAAACTGCTCAGCTCTGGCTACACTTCTTGGATCAGAAACCAATCTGAAAGAGCTGAACATGAACAATAATAATCTGCAGGATTCAGGGGTGACTTATCTCTGTACTGGACTGAAGAATATGAAGTGCAGATTGGAGATACTGAGGTAAGTTGTGTGACAACAGACATTGATCTCAACCAAAACTGAAAGTCTGAAATGTTTGAAATATTCCATAAAATCTACTGTAGGTATAAAAATATACTCTTTGAATAATAATACAGTAAAGGACTAATAAGGAATTGCCTTTTAAAAATATGGGAAGTATGCAAATTATGCTTACTTGCTTTCTTTGCCTAACTATCGTTACCAGTAACTGAAAGAATATAATTTTTTTGCAAAAGGCATCACCTATTAATTTGAGTTTTTAACAGCCACTCCAAATTGTCTCAAATAAACTTTTTGACAAAAGTCACATTTTGGTCAAAGCACTGAAAATCACAATTTGCATGTTTTAACAGCCATTTGCTAGCATAAAAATAGCTGAATAACTAGTGTAGTGTTACATTTGTTATTTTTGCTCTTGACTTTCAAACTGCTGAAGAAGGGTTTTACATTTTGGCTTGAAAATAACTGAAAGATAATATTATGATCAGATTAATTTAGAATCATCTGCAGTTAGAGTCATATGCACTTAAGATTTAAATTGCAAGTGCAATGAGTTTTCTTTCTTTTTTTTTTTGAAAAGATCGATACTATTAGAAAGGCGATCAGCATATCCTCAAGTTGTGCAGAGGTCAAACAGATCCGACCAAAATTTCAGAAAGCATTTGGGTCATTAGTCAGTTAATCAGTTAAAAATACTAAGGGTTCACTCAAATGTGCCAAAACAGTATCCACATTTAAATCTAGACTCAAAACATAATCTGTTTAGCTGTGCATTTACTGAATGAGCACTATGCTACATCCAAATGATTGCACTGTATTTTATGTATGGATGTTTATTATTTCCAGGCTCAGTAAGTGTGATCTAACAGAGAAAAGCTGTTCAGATCTTGCTTCAGTTCTCAATTCAGACTCCAGCAGTCTGAAGGATCTTGACCTGAGCAACAACAATCTGCATGATTCAGGAGTGAAGCTGCTCTCTGATGGACTGAAAGAGAACTGTAAACTAGAGAAACTCAGGTGAGTTGATATCTAACAAATGAATGGTCTCTGGGCCTTTGCTTGCCACCATATTTAGTCATCAGTTTTATTTTTTAAAACAGTTTAAATTCATGTGTTCAAGGAACACAATGAATGAACTATTTATTTTTTAACGATTCATTTTCTTGAAGAACAGATTATACATTTGAATGTTACATTTTCAATCCTGTTCTAGACTCTCTAACTGTAGTGTAACAGAAGAAGGCTATAAAGCTCTGGATTCTGCTAGATTAATAGTCTATTGGTCTTTGATTGTCTCCATATTCAGTCATCAGTTTTTCTTTGAAAATTCATTTGTACATTGAAGACAGTTCACAAGCGGCTTGCTTTTTATGGATTTTTGTTATTTAGGACACTGTGTTGAATAATTGATTAATCAACTGAATGTTTCATTTATATTTCTTTTCTAGATTTTCAAACTGCAGTATCACTGAAGAAGGTTATAAAGCTCTGGCTTCGGCTCTGAGATCAAACCCTTCACACCTGATAGAGCTGGATCTCACAAGAAATAATCCTGGACAATCAGGAGTGAAGGAGCTCGTTGATTTACTACAGGATGGACACTGTTCATTAAAGACCATCAGGTGATAAAATCACCTTGAAATACACATATTTTAAAATAAGCAGCAAATGTGATATCAGCTGAATAAAAAACTAGGGAGATGTGGTCAGATGGGCCAATGTACAATTTTAATTTCAAGAAGAGAAATGTACTGCAATTCAAAATTACTGTCACACACATTTTATTTTATGTCCAGCACAAGTTTTCATAGAAAACACATGTAATTACATTATAAATTATATCATAATATAATATAACATTATAAATATCGCTCTTAGGACAATGAAACTCCAAAAAGTTATGCTCTCAACACACTGCATTTAGCATATTATCAACATCAATATAACTTTGTTAATTGAAACCAGAGCCATTAGTCTTAACTGCAAAAAGGGAACTAATATAAGACTGACTAATCTACAATTCTTATCATCTTCCTGTAGGTTTCTGAAATGTCCTGGTGCACAGGAAGTGTGTGAGTGTCTCACTGAAGTTCTGGGTAAAAATCCATTATTACTGCAAGAACTGGATCTGAGTGGAGACATATTAGAAGCCCTGGATGGGGAGAAGCTCTCTGCTCTTTTGATGGACTCTCATAGCAAGGTGGAGACAATTAAGTGAGTGAACATGATTTTATGCATTATAACTTTTTTTATTATTATTATGAAAAGACCGTTAGTCATGTGTGAGCAAATATGAAGACCTGTTGATCTGATGTGTGTTGAATATGTGCTGAATAATACATAATGCTGTGTTTGTGTTTAGTGTGAATAATTGTGAGCTGACAGAGAAGAGCTGTTCAGTTCTAGCTACTGTTCTCTCCTCCAAAACCATGCTGGAAGAGATGAACCTGAACAACAGCCGTCTGCTGGACTCAGGAGTCAAAGAGATCTGTGAGGGACTGAAGAATCCTGTGTGTGAGCTGAAGATACTCAAGTGAGTACATTTCACCATTGAATTAACATTTATTTGTATCTTTTTACTATCTAATCAAACATTCCATTTCATATCTATTTGTCCTGTTGTGGGAAGTAGAGCAAATGTGTGCAAGAATGGAACTTCTGTTTACTGTCAGAACTCCAGTTTAGACAGTGCATCCAGGATAGAGAGAATCACTGATTATAATTTGTTCTATGTGCGTTAACACAATGTGCTACACTGTTTGCCTCTAGTGTAGACAGAGTTTAACCTGCTAGTTCACACCAATGCGACTAGAATAGAAGATATATCATTTACATAACAACCACTGCACTGGCTTTGTATCCAGCTAAACACTTACACTCAGTAAAAGGACTTGACACCAAGTTGGGTAACACTTTATTTCGATTGTCCACTTTAGACATTATATTAACAGTAAGTAACTTTGCAACTACATGTCAACTAGCAGTTAGTAGAGTATTAGTAGACTGTCTGCTTAATATCTTCTAACTCTTTCATTGGCAACTTATTCTACTAACCCTAAACCTACCCTGTCTACTCTGAGAGTTAGTAAACATGTAGTTGCAAATTAATGAGAATCAGTTGACATGTTGTTACAAAGTTACTTATAGTTAGTAGAATGTCTAAAGTGGACTATCAAAATAAAGTGTAACCCCAAGTTGTAGTTCAGATGATTTATAAATAAAACAAAATGATTGCATAAATACACTGTTACATGAAAAATGTTGAGTCCAGTTGTATCTAACATGAGATACTTATGCAGTGTCTCGTTAAGTGCTGTCAATATGATGCAATGATATGTATGATGCTGATGCCACATGTAAGCCTGGTAGGTCAACCATGAGAAGAAAACTGTTTTTTACTACTGAAGATGTATTATTAATCTTATTTTGTGACAAAGAGCTGGATGATGAGGGAGAGAATAAAACATCCAGAATTCATTGTCAGTGAGGTGTAGCTAGCTGTCACGATCTGCTGCTGCTACTGTGTCGGAGACGAGGAGCGAAGGAGCGAGGAGAAATCGGAGAATATACGAAACAGGATTTAAAAACACACACACATGTAGTACATGAACCAAAGGATGTTTAACACAGGACACTAGACACAGGAAACACTGGGCTTATATACTTGGACTAAATGAGTAAATCAATGAGAGACACCTGAAATCAATAAACAATGGAGAAACAAGGTAATGGGGAACACATGGGCATGTACCACGTGGGGGGGGGGAACAGACACAGGCACTCTGGAGGCCTCTAGGGACAGACTTACACAGGACGGACGGCCTCCACAGCGGGACTCATGGTGGAGCAGGCAGACAAGGGAGCCATGGCAGAGCAGGCAGCTCGGGGGGGCTATGATGGAGCAGGCAGACAAGGGAGCCATGGCGGAGCAGGGAACTCAGGTGGCCATGGCGGAGTGACCTCCGTTGCCCTGGTCTCGGCACTCAGCCCTATACCCCCCCCCCCCCCCCCCAAAAAAAACAATCTTTGAGGAAAATATCGGCCCCTGAGGCCCTTCGTGGGCCTGAAAAATAAACAAAATTATTAGTGGAAGTCAAAAACAACATATTTAAAGACTAGCTGGAATAATAAATGATAGAAAAACATTTATTTCAGCGATTCAGCAAAGAAACACTTGTCCATAACTGACATAGCATAGGAAATAAATATGGGTCATTTTAGACCCATGTTGTGCATTAGAAGGGTAGTGACACAAAAACGATTTTTATTCAAAAAGTAAGAAAGAAAAAATAAGAATTTGTGATGATCAAAAACAAGTTAATAGAGGACTTTTTTTTATTCTGAATGATGAAATTAATTTCTAAAAAAAAATATAGAAAAAATAAACTCAGACCCATGTTGTGCTTCAAAGGGTTAAAAAAGCACTGGGTGGATTTGTATCATAATAGGCTGATTGTGTACGCACACTGCCAAGACATTTAAATCCAATGTCCCCTTTAAGGATTAAGTAAAAACATTTCCAGTGTATGGCAGAATCTTGTTTTTGGTACAAGATGTTGATACTTGTAATTCTTCAGCCAAAAGAACATTGATTCACTAGAGTGAATTATGAGAATTGTGAGTAAACAATAACTTTACAGAACAATTTTCTGGGGGGGCCCAACATTGCCTTTTCTCTTTCTGTCTTCAGTCTGTGTGGATGCAGTATTACAGAGAAACAGTGCCTCATCCTGACTTCAGCTCTGAAATCAAACCCATCACACCTGAGAGAACTGAACCTCAGTGGGAATAAAATAAAGAACACAGGAGTGAGGCACATATGTGATCTCCTGAATGATTTCCACTGTAAACTGGAGAGATTGAGGTGAGGAACACTTTATACTCAGTATCTCACGATGAGCCTGAATATTTTGTGATCTGGTGAAGTAAGTGCACTGAGACCACTTTTTCCAGAACAAGACCAATGCTTTCATATTTGGTCACCAAAAATAATGATTACCAATACCTGTATTTTCATTTTAATTAGCAAATAGAAGTTTCCTTCAGTTATTTTCACACTTAATTATGCCTGTTAAAATGTATTGCATGAGCTTCTTTCACTGTTCTTTCTATTGCTTTATCGTATTTTCTTTCATTTAACAGCACAGGAATTAGATCAGGGGTCACCAAACTCAGTACCGGAGGGCCACTGTCCTGCAGAGTTTAGCTGCAACCCTAATCAAACTCACCTGAACCAGCTAATCAAGGTCTTACTAGTTATACCTGAAACTTCCCGGCAGGTGTGTTGAGGCAAGTTGGAGCTAAACTCTGCAGGACACCGGCCCTCCAGGACCGAGTTTGGTGACCCTTGAATTAGAGCTTCTGAAGTGCAGCAGTACAGAAATCATGCAATTTTCCTGTAATGATGTGGGTTACCACTCATATATAAATCATTATGTTTCTACTTGCATATACCATTTTGCTTTAACCCAAATTATGATTATGTGCTGAGTGATGAGCAATGAAGAGCATGCAACAGACGTGTGCACTCTCTTTCTTTCTTTCTCTCTGTCTCTATCCCTTTTTCTTTCTCCACACCATCAAGTAGTTATAGGCGCATTGTTTTACTTTCTTTGCTAGTGACAACCAAACTACAAATTTTCCAGCGATATGTGCACAATACACAATAAATATTATTAAAATTATTGATTAATATTAATATGATATAAATATCCTATTAATTAGATACATTTACATTACACTAGACATCCTTAATCTCTGATGTCTCCATTCTGCTCTCTGTTTGTTCTGTTGCTGATGTTCTTCGTCTTGGCAAAAGTACAGTACTTGCACTGCATGGTATCTCTTTTTGGTATCGGAGCCTTTTAATGAGTATAAGTTCACAAGAACAGCCCGATACCGATACTGCATCTCTAGTGAAGATGATCTCTTGTTTTGTTGATGTAATAAAGAGTTAGCTTCTTATATTTTAGTGTATGCTCTCTCTCTCTCGATCTTGCCCAATGTTAGGTTAAGATACTGTGATATGACAGTTGAAGGATGTTCTGCTGTGACTTCAGCTCTGAAATCAAACCCATCACACCTGAGAGAACTGGACCTGAGCGGGAATAAACTAAAAAACACAAGACAAAAAACACAATTATATGATGTACTGAAGGATTCACAGTGTAAAATGAAGCAAATGAGGTCAGTAACATTCACAAAGCGAAGAAAATAGTGTTTTGGTATTTGAATGAAACAGAGTAGTTTGTTTGTCTCATTTCTCTGAATATAGATTCACAGGCTGTGACATGACCGATAAAGATTGTTCTGCGCTAACTTCAGCTCTGAAATCAAACCCATCACACCTGAGAGAGCTGAACCTGAGTGGGAATCAACTAGGAGACTCTGTTGTTGAAAACCTTGGGCTTCTATTAGGAAGCTCACAATGCAAGCTGGAAAAACTACAGTTAGTAACATTATACTTTACAGCAGTTACTGTGTGATTACATTTTCCTATTAAGTTATTTATTTAACACAACAGGAGCACAGTATCATCTGGCATTTCCCCGTCTGAAGAAAGATTCAAAAGTACTATGAGCTAATGGACTAATGGTTCTGTATGTTATGCAAAAAGTACATAGAGGTCCGTAGGTGGGTCTGTATTAATTGTGTTTGAGCTAGATTTGAGAACTGTACTCTTGGCATTGCTTTACAGTATCTTGCTGCACACACATTGTGAGTGAGGAAAGGCTGGAAAAGGAAAGGCTGTATGGAAAACACTTATGTTAGTGTGTGTTTTATGCAAATAACTAACCCCAGGCACTCTCTTCAGTGTGGATTATGATGATGGTTTGAGTTGAGAACTCTGGTATAGTGTAACAACGAGGCTGAGGTGGTGTTAGAATCCATTTGCAGAAGTTTATTAACAGCAGACTTAAGTGACAGAAGCATTAGGCCAGGCAGAAAGTCAAAACCCCAACAGCAGTCCAATCCGTCAACATACACAAGGGTGATCCAAAAGGCAGAGACGAGTAAGCAGGCAAAAGGTCAAAACACAGTCATCAGTCCAAATCAGGCTATCAATGCAAAGGGGTGAGGCAGGTAATCAGGCAGAATCATACACAGATCAGGCAGGCAGAAAACAATGGAAACGCTCGGTAAGGCAGGTAAACTGGCAATACTTCACAATGGGCAAATACACACTCTCTTGCTAAATACTGGTCAAACAGTAAATTATCGTAGAAGTAGAGGGAGCGGTCAGTACTCAGGCGAGGGCTCCCTCTGCTGGTGTGGTGTAACATGTAGGTTACAGGCATTCATTTTAATAGTACAAATTTCACTAATAATGTCACAACTCAACCCCTTCTAAAATAATGACGTTTTAAAAAGTGTATCCGTAAATGTCTTTGAGCAGGTTTTTCACTGTTGTTTTGACTCAGTGAAAACAATTGCTTAATAAAATAACATTGAAAAAGTTAGGCTGCTCTGACATTCAGTTCCCTTTCAGTCGGTCATCCGACGTGACGTCTCCGTTCCCTCCTTCAGGGAACGAGGGTTACCATACGTAACCAAGACGTTCCCTTTCACTCTGTCACTTTCGACGTCACGTCGGATGACCGATGAATTGGGATCCCAATTCGTCGGTCATCCGACGTTACGTCTCCGTTCCCTCCTTCAGGGAATGAGGGTTATCATATGTAACCGAGATGTTACAATTCGCAAGCATTTTTTGTCCAAATAAAGAAGTGTGCTACGTGTACTGCGTTAGGCTAAACGAGACTTGTCATTTGCACTTACATATTGTTGCTCTTTTGTTAGTTTTGATTGCTTCTATTGTCCTCATTTGTAAGTCGCTTTGGATAAAAGCATCTGCTTAATGACTAAATGTAAAGATGCTCCAGACTTAGATTGTAACTAGTATCCTCAAATCCTAGTTATAGATTGGTTTATGGTTCTATAATTAAGGTTCCATGTTCGCATATTAGTCACTGTATTGTGTTTAGTCAGGATGAATTTAGTCTCAGCCTCAGACGTCACACCCACGGAACGTTGGCTGAATGTCTGATGCATACGGCACATAAAACAGGATCAACTAAATGCTGGATTTTCAAAAGTATGTGAAATATTTAAAGTTCGTTGCACAGAATCTTTAAAATACGTCCGAGAGTTTTACACACCGGTCTGTTATTGTGGCGACATTTCCACGCCCCGAAACGTGACGCTGAAACGAAACGAAATGTGATTGGTTGTTTGACATGTCGGTCAAACTACCTCATGGGCGGGCCTTGGCCAATGAAAGCTGCCATGGATTCCAGACCTTCAGACGTCAGTCTAAAGGTCTGGCTACGCGAGACTAGGATGAATTTAACTCACACATGAACTGTACATGGATCATTGTTCTTTCTCTTTCTGTCTTCAGTCTGTGTGGATGCAGAATTACAGCGAAACACTGTATCATCCTGTCTCCATCCCTGTGTTTAAACCTTTCACACCTGAGAGAGCTGGACCTCTGTCAGAATAAAATAGAAAACAAAGGATTGGAGATCTTGTGTGAAATACTGAATAATTCACGGTGTCAACTGAAGAGATTGAGGTGAGGAATATTCCCATACAAAAATCACAATGCTTAAAATCACTTTAACACTGTAATTTTAACTAAAACACTTTTACTCAATATCTCCCATATTTGTGGAAAATAATTCCTCCCAGTGGAGGAATATATATTAAGTTGAAGAATAATTAATGTGTGTTCCTGCAGACACTTCGATTGTGCCTTTTATTTTTATTATGTATAATTTAATGATTTTTTAACTGCCTTTTTATCTTTATATTTTAAACCATTTGGCAATGTAGAGCATAGCTTTATACATTTAAAATGTTTAGGTCTTTTTATGAATTGGCTGAATTTTATCTATTGTGCAATAAGGAGCAGTCACATTATAGTGTACTTTTTTTGCATGGCAAAATTCTGCAGACATGAAAAAAAGACCGAATTTGAAGTGTGTGTGAGAAACATTTTCCAAGCAACTCTTTATTCTGCATCACTTTATATTCTAGAACAATACTTTTGTGAAGTGGCTGAGGATACACTGCTTGAATGATAGCCTTGTTCGTTGTAGTCCAGCCAGTTCAGAGTTCACACCAACTTCTGTTGGTCAATTCTGTTAATTTCCCTGTCAAATCTAAACTCCATGCCACTGGAAATCCATCAGGCGAAATTCCTTATCAGAATGCATTCCCATTGAGATGACAGTGATTTTTTTTCCCTCCAAATTTTTTTGAGAAAAGGCAAACATGAAACACAAAAATGATATTTCTTCCTCTCTTTCTAGTCTAAATGACTGTGGCATTACAGATGTTGCACATTTAACCCAGTCTTTGGCCAAGACAAAAGCATTGACTTTTTTAAAAGAACTTGATCTGAGTAACAATAACATTGGATACTCGAAAAAGCAGCTCATTGACGTGCTACAAGACTCAAACTGTAGTCTAAGGTGAGTGAACCTCCTTATGTTGCAGTCAAAGTATCATTAACAGACAAACATGGAAATGCAATTTGTTTTATATTGTAAACACAACTTTGTTGTGTGTGTATATGCCAAACAATGTAAAATCAGTAACTAATTTGATAACAGAAAATTTTATGTTTGCTATAGTCTATTACACTCTGTACTCAAATTAGTTGAATGCAGTAACTACAGCAAATTTCTAACTTGTTCCAATGACTGGAACTTGTTCTCTTCTGGTTCCTTCTTATAGCCTGGAGAAAGAACACTGGCTCAGCTGGAGCACTGCAAATATCATTAGTAGTATTGGTGGATGGTTAACTCGTTCTAAAGCTCAAGAGAAACCTGTGAAATCAACAGATGAGGAATCCTCAGAAGGTTCTCACTATAGTACCGTTATAAATGCAGCTCAAGAGGAACCTATGAAATCAACAGAGCAAGAAAAGTCACCATCAGATGAGGAATCCTCAGAAGGTTCTCACTATAGTACCGTTATAAATGCAGCTCAAGAGGAACCTATGAAATCAACAGAGCAAGAAAAGTCACCATCAGATGAGGAATCCTCAGAAGGTTCTCACTATAGTACCGTTATACATGCATATGTGTGATTGTAGTTTTGGTGAGATATTGCTAAACAGCAAGCAATAAATACAAACATTGGCAAACTTACAGCTACTACAGCTTAAAATAGCACTGCTTTAACAAATCTAAAGTTATTATAGCTCTTATACATTACTATTTAAAAATTATTACTAATGCATATAGGTGGTAAAGGATTAGACCTTCAAATTAAATAATGCAGCATTGATAGAAACACATGTACATGAGTAATGTTGAGTGATTATGTTGGCTTTGTATTTATTTGAATGGTATTTTACATTTTTTTTACAGGTGAAACAGAGAAGGGAGACGAGGCTAGTGAGTGCTCCGATGCGGTGGATTGACTGGATATAAATCCATAAGATAAGGCCTTCATCATAATGATGCTTGGATTAAACTAATCCATAATGAAACAATTACAATATTGCTACTCATGACTGTGATTGTAATTTAGCACTTAAATATATCAAATTATATAAACTGAAAGTGTACAATTAAAATATTGTGGGCTACATGTGCACAAATTCAAATCAGTAGTATGCACTGATCTACACTGAAAAAAGGTATTTTGAATTTACTTAATTTTATTGTGTACATCAGTCCCACATGATCAGAATGTTGTCAACTGACATAATTGTCTACTTTTTCTCAACTTGATGTTTTAATGATAATATTAAGGTATTAAGCAACCTAACTTGCTTTAAGTAAACTCCATCCAAATGTACCGTAGACATGTTCAAATGTGTGTGACTGTAAATACAAAATATTAAATGTAAAAATGCATATTGGCATTGACAATAAAGGCAAAAAGCAAGAGTTTAAGTGTTTTTATATCGAGTTGTCAAACTTCGCAAATTTGCAAAAATGGAGGACTGAGTGCAGGTGCTGTGAACTGATTTCACAAAAGAATCAAAACAAAAACACTTTAAATGCTGCATCAGCAGTGTATTCGAACACAAATGCATAATGCAAACAACACGGTTGTTTTCAGAGTGGATCAACAAAACTAATGTAAATGCTGTATTACGTTTAACATTCAATACATGAAGAAACCCTGCATTAATGTTTACATTGAATATCAGAGCATATACATACTTGATGTACAGTGGATTAAGTACGGCAAGACATTTTATAAATTTACTATTAACTGCTGGCAGGGCAGATTAAAAACAGCAAAGACATTTGTAGAAATATTAACTATAACAGTATTTAAAAGTGGATATACAAAATTGGTAAACTGTCAGCACAAACAGTGCAAAAAAAAAAACACGTTTACTAAAGCAATCCAAACATGGCAGAAAGTGAACAAGTCCAAACAGAGCAAGAGCTTGTTATAGATCACTCCCAAGGTTAAAAAAAACAGTTTACCCAAAAATGTAAATTCTGTCATTAATTACTCACCCTCATGTCATTAACAGGTAAGTGACAAGTGACATGTGGCATGTGGCCAAGTATGGTTACCCATACTTGGAATTAGTGCTCTGCATTTAACCCATCCAAAGTGCACACACACAGCAGTGAACACACACACACACCGTGAACACACACCCGGAGCAGTGGGCAGCCATTTATGCTGCGGCGCCCGGGGAGCAGTTGGGGATTCGGTGCCTTGCTCAAGGGCACCTCAGTCGTGGTATTGAAGGTAGGAGAGAGTGCTGTACATTCACTCCCCTCACCTACAATCCCTAACGGTACGAGACTCGAACCCGCAACCTTTGGGTTACGAGGCCGTAAGACAAACCCGTAAGACCTTCGTTCATCTTCAGAACACAAATTAAGATATTTTTGATGAAATCTGAGAACTCTCTGACCCTCCATAGACAGCAAGGGTTCTACCACAGTCAAGGCCCAGAAAGGTAGTAAGGACATCATTAAAATAATCAATTTAACATCAGTGGTTCAACAGTAATTTTATGAAGCTACAAGAACACTTTTTGTGCACAAAGAAAACAAAAATAAAGACTTTATTCAACGATTGTAATCTATCTATCTATCTATCTATGTTTTATTTACCTATGTTTTATCTAACAAAAAAAATAATAGTAAATGATGTTTATCTGAAAGTGTAACAATGCAATCAGGTTTTCTATAAGGGGTAGGTTTAGGGGATAGAAAATATTGTTTGGTCAGTATAAAAGTAATAGAAGTCTATGGAAAGTCCCCACAATTCACAGAAACCTAGTGTGTGTGTGTGTGTGTGTGTGTGCCTTGAAGTAAAATCCACATAAAGTGTTTTCTTTTCTGAAACAAAGAATATTCGTTTGCTTATGTGTATTGAGTGTGTCATAGGTCTGTTTTTTATTGGTTGTATTCTCCCCTCCTTCACCCCCACATTTCCACCGCTTTACACACCCATTTTCTGGAGTCTTTTTTAAATCTGAGGTGTGATAGACTGGTGCTAAAACAAGGTGGTTTCATGACACTTTAAATGTGGATTTACCCATTGCTTCGCTTTAAAAGGCATTTATTAACCCCAGTCGTATTACTTTTATGATGGACGGATGAGCTACAAAAACTCGGGCACCATTCAATCACAAAGCTGGGAAGAGCAAGGCTATGTTTATATCTCCAATCATGTTCAGCTAAATAAAGAAAATCCATGTATACACCTAGGATGGCTTGAGGGTGAGGGTGAGTAAATTATGGGATTATTTTTATTATTATTATTATTTTGTGGTGGACTATTCCTTTAACTTTTCAAAACTTTCAGTGTTGAGCCACAGGCCTGGAAGTCTGTGATGGAGCAGGAGGATAACAGGATGATGAATCCAAGGGCTTGGCGAGGGAGAGGGAGCGGAAAAAAAAAATAATTCTACCGAGGGGATGACCCTCGGTGACCCATACTCTGAATTTGAAGGATTATTCCATGGAGGAAGCTTCCATAATTTTCTATAGTCATGCCATTAATTAAAAATAAATAAATAAAAAGATGCTTATTGCAGCCAGAGTGTGTAGTTACAATATCCACCAACAGGTGCTTATGGGACAAAATAAGATACTCTTTATGTTTCTCTCTCTCTCTCTCTCTCTCTCTACACATGAGCTCTGCCTTCCTGAACAACTGGTTTAAAGGTCTTTAGGCTAGACTCAATTTAATGTAAAGTGTTTTATTTCCACAAGTCTACTCACTTACATTACTGTTACATGATATATAGCCTAAAGAGAAAACCTTTTTTTTTTTGTTTACTAGCTAAAATAATACTTTAAACAGTATCATTTAAACAGTTGAAATTGTTAAAAAATAAAATCCAGATTGCGGTTTAATTTTTTTGTGTGTAATATTTTACACGGCGTAAAGCCTTTTTGCATATGAAAATTAGAATTGGCAGGGACGTTCATTACATCTTCGCTCTACCTTTCATAGCCATAGGGAAGCTCTCAGATTACTTTGATTTGAACTAGTGTAACAACTGCGTCGCCTACAAACCAGAACATTTTGCATTCATTTTTCATATTCTTTTTCTGAGGAGAAAAGTGAAAATGACTCTTCTCTTTAATTTGCTCTTGGTGATCTTGTTTTTACTTGACCATGGTAAGACTGGTTTGTTACAATCTATTCTGTGATGTTGCACAGATTTTTGCATGTGTATTGGCACAGTTAGTGACAGGAATATTATTAGGCTATTAGTTGTGTAGAGATTATAGGTTGACAACAGTGCCTACCACGCTCATGTAATTCGAAGGGTAGAATCAGCCCAGGTCAGTTTCAGTGGCGTGAAGATAGGTTCATGGCATCATAACATGGCATCATACCGATAGAAAATGTTGATATTGTTTTATATCAGTGCATAAACGGATCAAATGTAATGAGTCGCTTTGCCAAGTTAATAAAATGTACCTACATTCTTAATTTACGTGAGAGATTACAATAGGTTATTTGGAGAAAAACATGGCATTGTATCATCTGAATTTTAATGCGGTGCTATCTTTATGGGTAAAATTAATCTTTAATATTCCTTATGAAAATGTGCTGCATAGAACTGTCTTGTATGATGTTTGTTAAGTTCTATAAGCTCATCCATGAGACTCACGTTTGTCTGCTGAGTGAATGTGTAAATCAATGATGTTCTTCTGCTGTTTGTTTGCACGTGCCACATTATGAATCCAGACGTATTTCTGTACTTTGATCTGTAGAGAAACATTCACAGCCCTATTGTATAGTTTTGTTTGTCTTACATTAATCGTTTCTTCTCTTTAGGCGTGTCTGGTGTTTATACAGACAGTGTGTCAGTGTCAGTAAAGGAGGGAGATTCAGTCACACTAAACACTGATGTACAAACAAACCAACAAGAAGAGATTAGATGGTATTTTAATTAGATTCTCATTGCTGAAATCACTGGAGATCAGAGTAAGATCTGTACAGATGATCAGTGTAGAGTGATATTCAGAGACAGACTGAGGCTGGATCATCAGACTGGATCTCTGACCATCACAGACACCAGAACCACAGACGCTGTATACTGATCACCAGCAGAAACAGCAGCTTCAGTATCACCAGAATGAATATATTCAGTGTTTCTGTCACTGGTGAGTATATCATTCAGTCATTCAATGCATTTCCTTTGAGGGATTGTTAAAAAAACAGTACATTGTTTTAAAATCAACTTAAGTGTTCGGTTGTGGACTGTTAAAAAAGCAAACTAAATTTTGTTTGCCTGCAGTCTTGTGCTGAGCTCACAGTGCTGATGCTGTTTAGCTGCTGTTGGTAAAAAAAAAAAACACCTGGTTTATCAGTTTAATCAATATCTGATGATCAATAGGAAGATGCAAATATCAGTCAGAGATATTGGTAAACATTGGATGTATTATCTGTAGTAATAATGATTGTCTGTCTTTAGCTGTTCCAGATTCAGATCTGTCTTCAGCTGCTGTAGCAGGAATATTGCTGTTCTGCTGGTGGCTGCTGCTGCTGTAGCTGCTGGTGTGTTTTACTGTCGACGCAGGAGCAATTCAGCAGTACCACCGAATGTAAGTATTACCTACAGCTGATTTAACAAGAAAAAAAAAACTTGAAAAGAACAGTGGTATGAATACATAATTAGATATAGCATAAATTTCTCTGAAACCCTCCATCTTCCCCAGCTCCACCTGAATAGATCTGCTACGGGGTTATTTTATATGTTATTTGTGCTGCAGCAGTATGTCTTAAATACTCATGGCAGCGTATCGCCATATGCATTGGCAGTAGCAAGTTCCTGTACTTGTTTGCAGCAGCAGCAATAATCTACAGCTACAGCAATAACCAACAGCAGCAGCAATTCAGCAGCAGCGTAGCAGATCGTTCTGCCAAGACCAAATACATTAACATTGTCATATCCATCACCATGCTAAAATGTTCAGAGAGTCGTCATGATTGAAATGTGTTTATACTTGATAAAACAATGCAATTAAATTATAGTAAATCTATTTGGTAGATATCTTTATCTTCATCATTGAAATCGCAATGTTCAATCTTCTCACCTGGATTTGTGAAGGAATCATCTTTCATTTTATGAGGTGCTGATTAGTTAATTTTATTGGTTTTCATGTGAGGAGGAGATGAAGAGCTGTTGTGTAATTTGTCTTCGATTTTGTGTCTCTTTCAGTTCTATTGTGTTGAGCTGTGATTGTCCAGTAGTAGTTTTTATGGAGTTAATTACATAACTCATGGAATTGTTGTATTGTGTTAATGTGTCTGTAGAATATTATCACTGCTTGATGGACACGATTGCCTTCAATTAAATACTCATTCTTTACTTCCACTTTAGACTAATGGTTTCCTTATTCCTTGTTCACATGTGAAACAATAATAGGGAGC